TAGGTGGTCATATCGATCCTTCAAATTAATCCATAACTCAAGTGGATCTTTTACAGTTAAATACTCAGTTTTTAACCCTTTATGTAGATGATGACGAAGGAAAATCATGGCCTTTGCTTTATCCTGATTTGATGCCTCATTTTCTTGTATAATAGTATTTCCAAGACCTTTAGCGTCAAGGTGAATTTTAGCATCAAGGACCCATGATAAATAATTCTTCCCGGTAATGTCTAGTGCCACAAATTCAAGCTTTGACAAGTTTGACATATTGAAACTAATCACAAAAGTAAATGGGTTAGAACAAATACAAATAATTTTCAATGAAAATATACTTATAAAAATAAATCAGACAACTAACTAAGAAGTTGATCACCTCAAATATGTAGTATAAAAAGTAACATATAATATATATATGTCCAATAAACAAGAATTATGGAGTATATGAATAAACACAAAGAGATATATTTAGTATAGTAAAAGAAAAGTAATTTATTATAAACGTGAATTTGAGGAATAACCATATACGGTGATAAGAGTGAATGTATTCAAATATTACTTTCCACCAATTGTAAAGTAATTTAAACTAGTATGTATAATAATTACTTTGTCACCTTGGTTATCACTATTTTATTTATGTAGAATGTCTTGAAGATAAGTTTTGTTCTACTTAAGTCCACACATATTTATTAAATTATTTTTTGTTAGTTTAACGCACTTAAGATCTATATCTTATATTTTCTTTAATAATAAGCAAGGTAAGAGAACTTCAGTAACATGATCAACTAAAATAAATGCTTAACAGTATATGAATTTGTTAATAAATAGCATATTGGTGCATATATATTATCATAAACTAAAAGAATATATAGTAATATACCTGAAGGAGAATTGAACACAACTAGGATGTGATTGTAAAAATGAAGGTGACAATCGTGCTGATAACGTGTTATAAATATAACTCAAAATAACAATATCGAACAAGGAAAAACAAGCTAAGATATATAGAGAGAAAGAGAGGAAGACAGATTCTTATTTCTTCTTCAATTGTGTGTTTTTCCTATCTATTACAAGGCCTTTATATAGGCATGAAAAGTGAATAAAAATATGTCATTGAATATGTCATTAAGCATAGAAATATGTCATTGAATATGTCATTAAGCATTTGAGAAGATCATGGAGGAAGAGTAGACATCCAACATAATTTGATTTCTTTTATAACAGAAGGCACGTTCTTGGCTAGTTATACTCTTGATTAACTACTTCATTTCGCAAGAAATCTGTATCAAATTATTAATCATTCCCTCACTGCTAGCATTCCTTTTCCAAAAACCCATAAAATCTTCCAACAAATCTCATAATTCCTTCAGGTATCAGACAAAATCTTTTTCCAACACTTTATACATGAAATATTCAAAAGAATAAAAGTAGTCTAATAACTAGCACATAGGAGTAACATATATATATATATATATATATATAATATATATATTAAGTACACCATAATAAAGAAATAATGTAAAAATAAATTATTTTAAAGAGTAAGAGTTTGTTGCATCAAATTGGGCCACTTGGTGTTGGCGACGCGTTTGTCTCAATTTTGGTTAAACACGTGATTGTGAATTCCTATACGAGATAGGAAAGAATCGTTTTCTCCCAAACTACAAAATTGAATCAAACTTCCCTTTCCTATTGAAGATAGGAATAGGAAAGCATTATATATATATTGTTGCTCCTCACTATTACTACTATTCCCTCATTCTCTTCCTCTGCCCAAATTGCTCCGTAGTATTACTATTCGTTCTCATATATTTTTGTTTCTCTGCCCCAAAATTGCTTAATTCTCTCATTCTCGATATTTTCTTTCTCCGTCCAAAGTTTTTATTCTCCAATGGCTTGCTCTCAGCAGAACAATTTCAAGAAAAAAGAGATGTGGAAAAAGGAATTATTTGAAGAGATAAAACAAGTGAAGTTAACGTTACAAGACCAAAGAAAAAACATAAAAAAGACTTTGAATCTGAAAACAGAAAAAGAAATTGCATTGCTGATGGGTGAAGAATTTGATGAACAACAAATCAACGAGAAAAAACAGACATGGGAAAAGGAATTACGTGAAGAGATCGAAAAAATCAAGTCGAAAAAACGTTTAGCTACGGTGAAGTGTTAGTAATTTGCTGAAGATTATGGCCAAGAGTCTCTAGTATTTATCGTTTTCTTACAAAACACTAACTCTCTATAGTTTAGAAATTGTTTAATTCTCTTATCTACCAATTTTAAGTGAAGAATCAAAATTTATTTAATACTTTTCAGGTTTGATGATTTGATGTGTATTCAAGTTTACTACTGTTCCATATTATTATAAATCAAATTATTAATCATTCCCTCACTGCTAGCATTCCTTTTCCAAAAACCCATAAAATCTTCCTACAATCTCATCATTCCTTAAGGTATCCGACAAAATCTTTTTCCAACTCTTTATACATGAAATATTCAAAAGAATAAAAGTAGTCTAATAACTAGCACATAGGAGTAACATATATACTACATATATTAAGTACACCATAATAAAGAAATAATGTAAAAACAAATTATTTTAAAGAGTAAGAGTTTGTTGCATTAAGTTGGGCCAGTTGGTGTTGGCGACGCGTTTGTCTCAATTACATTACCAATCAAACAGCTATTTGATTGAATAACAAACAAAATGCATGCAGCAGCTTTTGCTTTTCTAATGGATTAGACAATCATATGATTGATTGATTTCCAAATTGCTCTAGGTTCCACATAATTTCTGTTGTTATTATCAGTAAATGTTTTTTCACATACAGCATGCAATTCTGTCGGAATCCAACAACATGCGACAACTCACATGTTTGATTCACATCTTCATGAAATGAAACACTGTTGACAGAAAAAAATGATTTATGAATCTTATTAACCTGTAGCAAATTCCCTCTCGCCTTCAAAGTGCATTTGGTATTAGGTTTATATTTATAAAGGTTATGGGTCATTTGGTATAACGGTGGGATAAACGAGGATATCATATGGGGCAGGATATTCCATGGGATTAGCTATTCGGCCATCTTTTATATGGGATAGTTAATCTCACTATTTTGGCGTAAAACATATACTAGGATTAGTTAATACCTACAGTCAAACATGAAATAAATACAATTTCAAATTCTATCCCGAGATTATTATGATTATCCCTTAAAGTTATATACAGCGTAAATATTTTATTTTGATTATGGTGGTGTCTTGATAAGTTGCACACACTTTTCTCATTGCACGAAAAACCTGCTACATACCTTTCACACGAACATGTATCGAATTAAAAAATCACTCACTCCCTCCGTTCCAGTTTATGTGAACATATTTTCTTTTTGGTTCGCTCCAAAAAGAATGACCCATTTCTAAATTTGGAAACAATTTGACTTAAACTTACAATTCTACCATTAATGAGAAACTTTTATAACCACACAAATACTCTGGGCCCCTTTTTGAATTGTTTAGGACCACAAATTTCAAAAGTCTTTATTTTTTCTTAAATTTCGTGCCAAATCAAACAGGTTCACATAAATTGGAATGGAGGGAGTAATATTTTCTTTGGCAACTAAAATATGAACTCCGATCTCTATGATTTATCCACTACGTAATGTTAGGCCACACTTTGCAGCGGTCATAACATATACTCCCTCCGTTTCAATTTATGTGAACTTATTTCCTTTTTAGTCCGTGCCAAAAAGAATGATCAATTTCCTTATTTGGAAACAATTTACCTTTATGCAATGATTTATAGCCACATAAAATATATGTGCCTCATTTTACACCAAAAGTTCAAAAGTCTTCTCTCTTTTCTTAAACTTCGTGCTTAATCAAATGGGTTTACATAAATTTAAACATAGGGAGTATACACAATTCACAAACTAAACATCTAAGTTACTATCGAACGAGAATCTCGAACCGAATTCATGACCCAAGCAGTCAATGGGACCAATCTCAAACCTAAAGAAAAACAGAACAAAGTACATGAAAATGTCAATAATTGTTAATTAATGTTTTCACCGAACAATCAAAAAGCCTAACATTTCTGTAATTAAGCTTGGATCCCACTTGAACTGATTTGGACCACGAGGATTCTTTTCTAAACATGTCAATATCGTACATGAACTTTCTAATCATTGTCCACAATCCCTCAATTGTATCTTAACATTAACTATTTAATTGGATTTTTTTGAAGGATACATCCAGCTTGCAACAACTAAGCACAAGGTTTCCATGTTTTCTTCTCTATCTTTCAATCCATAAATAGCCCATCTATTGCCCCACATTTCCATAATTAAACAAGAAAAAAAAATGAAATTCTTTCTACGTGATAAAACCTTCCTATTATCACAGTTCTTGATTTTCTGCATGATAGTTGTCGTTTCATGTCTAGGTCCAGTCTATAAACCTCCAGTAGTCGAGAAATAAACCGATCATTTTAGCCGATTATTGGTTAACCAAGGTTATAATGTATTCTTTAGAGGTGCTAATGTTCGTATGACAAACAATGGGTACAGTGTTGATCTTATCTTAGATAAATCTTCAGGTACACTACAACTTTATCATACAAAAAATGTTTTTGCTTAAGTTTATATATAGTTGTTGAAGTATTTACAACAATTTTCTTTTTGTCCATAGGTTCTGGACTGATCTCTAAGGACAAATACTACTACGGTTTCTTCAACTGCTCTAAAATTGCCTGATCATTTTACATATGGAGTTGTAATTGTCTTTTATGTAAGTTTTCATGCACGTCTTATAACTAATCTCCATATAACTAATACAGTACTGGCACTAAACTCTAAATGCGTTATGTAGAGTACGATATAGAAATCAAGAATTTTCTCTTTCGTTGATCATCAAGGCTAAGGCAAGATTTTTTTAAATTTTTTTTCCAATTTTCAGTTGTCTAATTCTGATGTGTTCCCACACAATCATGGAAGTGGAAGTGTTTACACAGGGAGAGAAGAGAAGTTTTACTTCTTGTTTGATCCAACACTGGATTTTCATGACTACAACATCCTCTGGAATAATCATCACATAGTGTAAGCTTAGTTGATATAATCTAACTATTACCTCCATTTCATTTTATATGATATTGTTTAATTATACATGGAGTTTTAAAAAAAACAATCTTGGCGCACAGTAGAGGAGCCACCTTATAGCAACTGACACCCCTTCACGACAAAAATATATTGTATAGGTAGGTAAAAAAAAATTATATGCATATATACTATGTGTTGACCCTCCTTTATTTTTTTGTCTGTTTGTTTTTATATATTTTTACACCCCTTAATAAAAATTTTGGCGCCGCTACTGTTGACGCATACGAAAATTGTCCTTAGAATTTGTAGTATTAAACATGTCATAACATATCTATGTCTATAAAAGCATATTATTAAGGAAAATGAAAATTTTAAAGAATTGCAAAATATAACGCATATTATTCTTTTGTTAGAACAAACTAAAAAAAAGGTGGCATATAAATAAACAAAGTGAGTACTATTCTTTACTTTTGCCTTAATCGACCACCCACTAAACAAGAATTTATTTTTAAATTCTATGTTAGATCCAAAAATTCAACTCCCCTTGAGGTACAACAAGAGGATTTTTCACCTATCACCCTAATTACCATCTGTAAAAAAATCCTAATTATTCAATAGGTTTTTTATGAGGTTAATCCAACGCATGTTTTTAGCTACAAATGTTGAATCTTTTTATCAAAATGGAACTTCTGATGGGATCGAGTTATAGGCTTGATAACAAGTTGAGAACTCACAAACTTCAATATTGGAAAATATATCTTAGTTTCTATATTTATTACTTGGTATCTTTTTTGTGGTAAAAAAGTGTAACGACATGATCGGTTGTTTTGCGCTCTAGCACGTTATTCAACGGTTTGAGACCCTGATCAGTTCACTTCAGGTATTATGACTTGTGAGTATGGTCGGAATTGAATTTCGGGAAGTTCGGAGTTGATTTGGAAAACAAATTCTAATTTCGGAAGCTTTAAGTTGGAAGAATTGACTAAGGTTTGATTTTTAAGTAAACAACCTCAAAATCGGGATTTGAAGGTTCCTACAGATTTGTATGATAATTTTGGGCTTGGGTGTATATCCGAATTGGATTTTGGATGACCCGAGACCGTTTCAGCGCCTATTGTAGAAGTTGGCATTTTGGAAGAATTTCATAAATTTGGGTTGAAGTGAATTTCCATGATATCGACGTCCGTTTGGGATTCCGAGTCTGGGAATAGCTCCGTATAATAATTCTGGTCTTAGGAGCACGTCCGGAAGCGGATTTGGAGGTCCGTAGGTCATTTTGGGGTCATTTGGGCGAAAGTTGGAAATTTGGATAATTTTTGTAACGACCCGACCGGTCGTTTTATTTTATAGAACCTTGTTTCCCTAAATAAGACTTCCTGTACTTGCTTTTATTGATTTATGACTTGCGGGGATAGTTGGTTCGGGATTTAGAAGAGTTTAGGTTGAAATCGGAACACTTAGTTCCTTAAGGTTGGCTTGAAAGGCCAAGTTTGACTTTGGTCAATATTTTTAGTAAACAACCTCGGAATCGGGATTTGACGGTTCCAATAGGTTCGTATGATGATTTCATACTTGGGCGTATGTTCGGATCGGGTTTTGGGTGACCCGGGAGCGTTTCGGCGCCTAATAGTGAAAGTTAGTTCTTGAAAGTTTTTGAAGTTCTTTAAATTTAGTTTGGAGTAGGTTTTGGTGATACCGAGGTCCGAATGAAATTCGGAGATCGGAAATAGTTCCGTAATGTCATTTAAGACTTGCACGCAAAATTTGGTGTTATTCCGAGTAGTATAAGTATGTTCGGCGTATTGGAAGTAAATTGAAGAATTTGAAATTCTTAAGTTTGATTCAATTGGTTTTAGGGTGTGATTCTTAGTTTTAATGTCATTTCGGGCGTTTCGAGAGTTCGAGCGAGTCCGTTTTATGATTTCAAACTTGTTTGTATGTTCGGGCGGGGTCCCGGGGGCCCCTAGTGTCAATCGAACGAGGCTCGGACCAAGTTGGGAGCTTGGAGCAACAACTGAAGCTCCCAGATCTGTCATAATCGCACCTGTGCTTGGTCATCCGCTGGTGCGGGCTCGCAGGTGCGAGCCACGAGCCACGAGCCGCAGAAGCGAGAAATGGAGGGCAGCCTAGAATCCACAGATGCGGAAGATTGGGCGCACATGCGAGAGACATGGTCCCAGGTGCGGCTAGGCTCACAGAAGCGGCCCTTCTTGTCCGCAGATGCGGATTGTCACAACCCAAGATCCCACCACGGACGTCGTGATGGCACCTAGTCTCTAAGACTAGGTAAGCCGATTTCAATTATATTTTGAAGCCATTTTTTTTTTTGAAACTAACAGTGCAAATAATTACGATATACAACCTCCCAAGACTGGTAGTACTGAGTCACGAATTCTAAGTGGATACAAAGAATGATCACGAGGACCGAATATACAATATTGTTTGATTACAAGTTAACAGTACAATGAAATGAAAAGACTCCAAGGGACTGCGATGACCAAGAAGCTCTACCTTGAATCCTTACGATCCCGCTTTAACTCCGCTCAAGTCTGTTATCTTCAATACCTGGCTCTGCACAATAATGTGCAGAAGTGTAGTACGAGTACGCCACGGTCGGTACCCAGTAAGTATCAAGACTAACCTCAATGGAGTAGAGACGAGGTACAGTCAAGACACTCACTAGCCTAATAATCTGTTCAATATAATTTACAAAATAATAGGAAACAAATAATAATAAGGGCAGGATAAAGCAATCAGTTATATGCACAACAGACAACAAGAATACCATTAATATCACTCAATAATTAATAAATATAATTACACCCAATTAAATCAAGTCTTTGAAATAAATATCTTTCACATATAATTCTTCCAGATAACTCTCTTTTAAATATAATTTTCTGAAATAATTATTTTTCAAATATAATTCTTTCAATGAATCTTTTCAAATATAATTTCCTCGAATAAATATCTTTCAAATACAATTCTTTCATATAATACTTTCTAAGTAAAAATTATTCCAAATAAATATTTTAAATATAATTCTTTCAATTAAAAAGTTACCATGTAACACCTCATTTCATAATCATAAAAGTACGGGTCTCAGTCCATTTTCATATTTCCACGGCACCTCGTGCCCATAATTAAATCATCATATTTTTCCGGCACCTCGTGCCCTAATTTCATCTCACAACTGTACGGACAATTCACGTGCCAAATATCATTACAATTTCATCACAGCACCTCGTAACCACATTTCATATTACAACTGCACGGACAATTTACGTGCCAAATATCATTACCATTTCATCACAGCACCTCATGCCCACATTTCATATCACAACTGCACGGACAATTCACGTGCCAAATATCATCATTATTTACTCACGGCATCTCGTGCCCACATTTCAATTTATAATCCGCCTAGCAATAGCCACAGGTTCTCAATTTCAACATAAAACAGATTGTTATCAATTTACTATCAACAAGACCAATTACACAAGGCATAAAAATAAATACAAGAAAAATCACAACATCACATAAAAGTCATCACCACCACAACCCCACATCATCACATATCGTCCCTGACAATAGCCACCCTTATCGCTCCTATTGCCACCCTTATCACTCCTATAGCCACCCTTATCGCTCCTATTGCCACCTTTATCGCTCCTATAGCCATCCTTATCGCTCCGCCCAGACAATATTCCAACAAACACAACAACAGTGAAATGCCACCCTTATAACTACATAATATCAACGGTGAAATGTCACCCTTATCTTCCCAAAATGACAACTCACACAACACAACAATTTATACGGAAAATTATCACAGCAACATAACAAAAATCAATTCATATCACAATTTGCCCAATGGCCACAATCAAATTTCAAAGCTACAACCAAGTCAATTAATTTCACAACAAATAGTCAAAAGCTCCACATAATGTTTACAACACCCAAAAATAATCAATAAAGATAGAAATTACTCAACATAAAGCAAAATCTTCATAAAAATTAAATTTTCAATAATTATAGAAACACCTCTTCTTAAACTCATTTAATTAATTGTTTGCAGAGGGAAAAATCCAAAATAAAATTAAATTCCAATAATTATCAAACCAGCAAATTCACGAAATTTCATAAATAATCAAACAACAATCATATCACATTGTCATATAAGAACATAGCCAACAACAAGGATTTAGGCACGACAAGTAGATGATTAAATATATGCCAACAATTATCCAATTTACTACACTATGCTCAAGACTTTAACTCAATAAAATTTGCACATATAAACCAAGTACGTACTCGTCACCTCGCGTACATGATTTTCAATTACACAAATTGCACATAAGACTTAATGCCTAAGGGGATATTCTCCCACTCGAGGTTAAGCAAGACACTTACCTCGACTTGCCCCAATTTAAATCAAGTAGTATGCCTTTTTTTCTTGATTTTTCCAACTCCGATCGACTAGAATCTAGTCATAATTAATTCAATACTGTCAACAAAAATTATAGAATCAATTCCATAAGAAAATACTATATTTTTTCAATAAAAATCCGAAATTAACTCAAAAATTTGCCCGTGGGGCCCACATCTCGGAATCCTGCGAAAGTTACGAAATACGAACACCCATTCACTCACGAGTTCAACCATACAAAAATCATCAAATTCCGATATCATTTCGTCCCTCAAATCGTGATTTTTCATTTTGAAAGTTTTCTTCAAAACCAACATTTTCCTCAACTCAAAACACAAATTAAATCATAAAAATGAAGATAAAAATCGTGGAATATATTAAATACTAAGTGAAGAACACTTACCCAATTGAATTGCTTGAAAAACCCACCAAGAATCGCTCAAAATCGAGCTCTATAAATCAAAATGTGATAAAAATGGCCGAACCCTCGATTTGAAAATCTTATATTCTGCCTAGGTGATTGTGCATCGCGAACGCGGAGAAAGGATCGCGTTCGCGAAGAAGAAGAAAAATGAACTGCCCAGTTGTGCTTCGCGAACGCGATGGGTTGTTCGCGAACGCGGAGAGGAAATATCTAATGGCCCACGACTGACTTATGCGAACGCGAGCAAAGGGCCGCGAACGCGAAGAATAAGAACAGGAAACCTTCGCGAACGTGAGATGCTCTTCGCAAACACGAAGAAGAAACATGAGGCTGCCATGAAGAGCTTCACGAACGTGAGTGTCTAATCGCGAACGCGGTGGAGGAAAAGACAAACCTTCGCGAATGCGATGGGATGAACGCGAACGCAAAGAAGAAGTATAAGGTGGTCAGCAGTAACACTTCGCGAACGCGAGGTGATCTTCGCGAACGCGAGGTGATCTTCGCGAACGCGAAGAAGAACCCCAGAAAACAGAAATAGCAGTTCAAAAATAGAAGGAAATGGTCCGTAGCCCATCCGAAATACACCTGAGGCCCCCAGGACCCCGTCTAAACATACCAACAAGTTCCACAACCTAACACGGACTCGCTCGAGGTCTCAAATCACATCAAATAATGTCGAAAATACAAATCGCACTACAAATCGAACTTATGAACTTCCAAAACTTCTAACTTCTAAAACTCTTGCCGAAACCTATCAAAGCAACCCGGAATGATGTCAAATTTTGTAGGCACATCTCAAATGACATAATAGAGTTGTTCCGACTCTCGAAATCGCATTCCGACCCCAATGTCAAAAAGTCAACCGCTGGGTCAAACCTTCCAAATTTTTGAGTTTTTGCCATTTCAAGCTTAATTCCACTACGGACAAATAATTTTCCGGATATGCTCCTAAGTCCAAAATCATCATATGGAGCTAATGGAACCGACGAAACTCCATTCCGGAGTTGTCTTCACACGGTTCCGACTACGGTCAAAATCCTAAGACAAGCTTCCTTTTTAGGGACCAAGTGTCCCAAATCACTTTGAATCATCTGGTAACTGAATTCAATCACACACACAAGTTAATACACATAATAAGAAGCTGCTCAGGGCCTTATGCCGCCAGATTGGGCTTAAATTCTTAAAAAGACAAGTCGGGTCGTTACACGGAGCCTGACCAGATGAGGGAAAAGCGCACCTGCGAGGCTTTTGCCGCAGGTGCGGCCCAAAGCACCGCAGGTACGAAAGTTGCTGGGCAGTGAAGGCTCATTTAATATGGACTTAGGCCATTTTTATCACATTTTCTCTCACTCTTGGGCGATTTGAGAGCTTTGAAGGAGGGGATTTCGACCTAGCTTTGTGAGGTAAGTAATTTCTACTTAATGTGAGTTAAATACATAGTTTATGGGTAGATTATAACATGTAAATTAGGGAAAATCATGGGTTTAGATAAAAACCTAGGTTTTTGATAAAAATGGAATTTAACCACGAAATTTGTTATGGAATTCAGTAAAAATCATATATTCATGTTCCTAAGATTATGGGTAACAACGTTTTTTAAAACTTTCAGAAATCCGAGCATGTGGGCCCGGGGGTAAATTTTAGGAATCTTACAATTTAGGATAGGTAATCACTTAAGTGGTGGAATTATGAACGTTTGAGCATAGATTGATTAGTTTATATAATTTTTGACTAGCTTCGAGTCATTTGGCATCAAATTTGGAGGTTTGAGCGTGTTCTTGAATTAGGAAGTAGGCTTTGAGACGAGATAAGTCTCCTTTCTAACCTTGTAAAAGGGAATTAACCCCATAGGTAAATTAAATAAATATATGTACCTAATTGTGGGGGTTACGTACGTACGAGGTGACGAGAGTCCGTACATAGCTACTACTACACTATTGTTCGGGTAGTCTAGGACCCGTATCATGCTATACTTGGAATGTTTGTGCCCTTACTTGCTAATATAATCACTTAGTCATGATAGAAATTGATAATAGAATTGTATAAGGTTAAATTCATTTATTTGAAGGTTTGTATGAGATACATGACTGTAAATGAGAAACTTGTGTTTTCTTGAAAATAATTATTATTTGTGGACCGGGCCGAGCGCCACTGAGATGTCATGAGGTCTTTCCACTGAGATGTCACATTCCTCATATCATGCAAAATTGATCTATTTTGCTTGTACTGAGTTTTACTGTTGAACTTGAAAGCATGCCTACATTTCTATACCATCATTTATGTACTGGACTGTACCTGCAGAGCTCGTCACTACTTTCAGCCCAGAGGTTAGTCTTGTTACTTTTTAAGTTGGTTTGGCTTGGTGTTTGAACTATCAGCGGGTAAAGTACGAGCAACAGAGACTAGGTGGTTTGCTCAAAGACTTGATATCCCAAAGTGGAATTGGGAACGTATCACCATGGATTTTGTAGTTGGACTTCCACGTACCTGGAGGAGATTTGATGCAGTGTGGGTCATTGTGGACAGACTGACCAAGTCTGCACACTTCATTCCAGTTATGACTACGTACTCCTCAGAGCAGCTGGCTCAGATTTATCTTTGTGAGATTTTTCGTCTTCATGGTATGTCGGTGTCTATTATCTCTGATCGAGACACGCACTTCACATCGCATTTTTTGGAGAGATGTAGAGCTTGAGTTGGGTACACATGTCGAGCTAAGTATGACATTTCATCCCCAGAAATGCAGACAGTCCGAGCGCACTATTCAGATATAAGAGGACAAAATACGTGCTTGTGTTATCGATTTCGGGGGTTCATTAGATCAGTTTCTATCGCTCGCAGAGTTTGCCTAAAACAATAGCTATCAGTCAAGCATCCAGATGGCTTCTTACGAGGCCTTATATGGGAGGCGATTTCATTCTCCAGTTGGATGGTTTGAGCCTAGGTAGGCTAGGTTGTTGGGCACTGATTTGGTTTGAGATGCTTTGGAGAAGGTGGTGTTGTTTCGATCGGCTTCATACAACACAGTCCAAGCAGAAGAGTTATGCTGATCGGAGGTCTCATGATGCAACATTCATGGTGGGTGAGAGGGTTTTACTCAGAGTTTCACCCATGAAGGGTGTGATAGGGTTTGGGAAGAACGACAAGTTGAGCCATCGGTATAGTGGTCCTTTTGAGATCATTGAGAGAGTGGGTGAGGTGCCCTACAGACTTGCATTTCTACCCAGCTTATCGGGAATTCACCCGGTGTTTTATCTTTCCATGATTCGGAAGTACTATGGTGCTTCATCTCATGTGTTAGATTTCAGCTCAGTTCAATTAGAGAATAATTTGACCTATGTTGAGGAGTCGATGGCTATATTGGACATGCATGTCCGGAAGTTGAGGTCAAAAAATATTGCTTCGGTGAAGGTTCAATGGAGAGGTCAACCAGTCGAGGAGGCAGCGTGGGAGACCATGCATGATATATGGAGCCTTATCCCCATCTTTTTGGCACTTCATGTATGTCTCTATTCGAGGACGAACGTTTATTTAAGAGGGGGAGAATGTAACGACTCGATCGGTCATTTTACGTATTTGAGCCTCGTTTCTCTATTTGAAGCTTCCCTTATGTGTGTTTGATGCTTTATAACTTACGGGGATGATTGGTTTCATTTCAAGAATGTTTTGGACCCTTTGGTTCATGGTTTTGAAGCTTAAATTAGAAATGTTGACCGAGGTTTGACTTTTGTAAAAACGACCCCGTAACGATATTCTGATGGTTCCAGTAGGTTTGTATAGTGATTTTGGACTTCAGCGTATTCCCTAAATTGGATTCGGAGGTTCCTAAGTTGATTTGGTTTGTTTTGTCAAAAATTGAGATTTTGAAGGTTTAGTTATATCCTAAGTTTGACCGTAGATTGACTTTATGGCTATTGGGTATGGACTTTGGTTTTAGGACTTGGAATAGGTATGTTTTCTCATTTGGAACTTGTCTGTAAAATTTGCTGTCATTCCGAGTTGGTTTGGTGGGAATCATACGCTTAGTTGTGATTCTAGTGATTCTTGAGTTCATTGTAATTTTCTATATGTTTTGGTGTTCGATTCATGGTTCCAGATATTATTTTAGTATTTTGATCACGCGAGCAAATTCATACGATTTTTAGACGTATGTGAATGTTTGGTGTGGATCCCCGAGTTCTCGGGTGATTTCGAACACATTTCGGATTGATTTGGACAGGTTTCTTAGCAGCTGGTGTGCTGGTGCTGTAGTTATCACAAATGTGAGCACTGGTTCGCATTTGCGGTAACCGATTTTGCGAAATACTTATGAATTTGCGAAGGGGTTAGTGGGATGGCAGGCTTTGCATTGCGAACCAACCTCACAAATGCGAATGGGGACCTGGGCTGGGGCATCTCGCATTTGCGACTGTTTGGGCCGCTTTTGTGAAGGGGCTGACTTCGCAAATACGAAATCGCATTTGCGACATCCCCTGGGATTCGCAGGCATCGCTTTTGTGATGGAGTTACCGCATTTATGGGGTTCGCATTTTCAAACCCCAGGTCGCATTTGCGAGACCTACAACTGAACAATATAATTGGAATTTGGGACTTAGCTTCATTTATCACATTTAGAACCCTAGACTCGGTAGGAGGGGATTTTGAGGAGAGATTTTCATAAACAACTATTAGGTAAGTGATTTTATCCAATTTCAATTATATTACATGATTGTTTATGAGATTTAACATCTAATCCATGGAATTTGAAGAGAACTTTTGGAAAATGTTGACTATGTTTTTAAAAATAAGAATTTGAGATTTTAGAGTCGAATTGGACTCAGAATTGAAAACAAAACACATATATGGATTCGTGGTTTTCTTTTTTAATTATACTACTAGGTTATTCACCTAGTAGATATATATATATAAATATATATATAATAAGTCCCAAATTGGGACAAGGTTATACATTGTTCACGTAAATGAAAAATAATGGAACAAAGAAAGACAATTGCTATTGCTACCAAATACAATGTAGCAACATCATAATGATAAATGAAAAATACTAAGCTACTAATTTGAACCATCCAATTGTTGCCGACGCCAATGAATTCACACATCAGTTCTAAATTGAAACAAGCATGTTGAAATGATGGCTTCTTGCTTCTTAGAAATATGGTGTAGTGTCTTGTTTTTTGCTGCTGGGAACGGGTGTTTTGTCAATTCATGCTTGCTAAGTTTGGACTCCTGGGACTGTTCGGCTGGAACTCTGTAGTGGCTGATTGCTGGAGATGGACCTGCTGCAGCTGAGTTGAGGAGCAAGGTGTTAATTGTCGATGGCTTGGATTTCTGAGTGTTGAGATCCTATGATGTTTCTTGTTGATGAATTCCTTAGTATTTGTGTAGGTGTTATGGCCTTGAACATTGTGGATTCTAGCCGCAGGTTGATGTGCATCTAGGGCTGGGTCAAGAATGAGTTGGCATATCCAATTGCATTGGCCAGTATTCAATAGAATGAGCACACAAGGTGCTAATACCACACATTGAATGTCGTCCAATACTCTGAGTATGCCTAATGTTCCTGCAAAAAGAAGAAACAAGGTTAGTGTAAAAACTGGCCTCCTTTCCTCTCCCTGTTGTGCTTGGTTATGGTGTACGCCCTTTGCTTTGCTGGTGTCATTTCTCCACCACATTAAAGGCTGGATGGAATTTAATGGTTGCATGGTTCATAGGCTGCCCATTCTACTATTCATGTTAGTTTGGACAATTAGGTCTGCTCCACTGAGTTCATATTTTTAAACCATAACCATGTGATGAATTGGAAGTAGAGTCAAGTTATGGTGGTATGATGATGCTGGTGGTTTTCTTGTGTCTAAAAGTAGGTGTGCCAAGAAGATCCTGCTGAACCTGACCTCTGATGTGATTAGGAAGGGATTGAATGGACTGATAATTGATTATGGTTGACAAATTGTGGCTAGGCTTTGACAAAGAATCAGCTGGGCAAATGACTTCTCTGTAGACATGTAAGAAATAGGTTTTCTCACACTATTGGAGTAGGTTTTGCAGGTTCTGTACTTGTATCTATAGTGTCCAAGGTGGCTCACCATCATTGCTGAGCCAATGAATCAATAGTGATGAATCTGCTTCCAAGTGTATTTTGGTAAAACCATTGGCAATACACCATTGAACTCCTAAAATAACTGCTTCTCTTTCTACTTAATTATTGGTGCCTTCACCTAAGGGACATGCTAAGGCATGAATAAACTCACCACAGCTTCCTCTGATAATAACTCCAGCTCCAGTCTGCCCAGGATTTGTTAGAGCACTACTATCATTATTAATTTTGACAAGTCCAGTGTCAGGTCTTGACCAATCTACCTTTTTGATAGAGGTGTGATGTTGAATATTTAATGTAGCCATATAGTTCAGTTTAGTTGAGTGTCCATTTTATAGTTGGGTAGTTGGTACTCAGTAGAAAATGAGTGTTAGCATCAATAGAGTAGAGTACTCTAGTGAGGGAAGAAGTTTTAGCACCATATTTTGCACTGCACCTGTTTTTTCACAAATTCCATGAGACGATGATAGGCAGAGTGTCAATGATCAATTTATGTACTTCATTTGATCTCTTCATGAGCCACCATTTCATGAGGAGTAGCCTTAGAGTTAGGTCTTCTGTTTGGATACCAGCAGGTCCTCCATATTTCTCCAAACCAATTTGGCAAATTTACCATGATTGAACCGAAGCACCCTGTCATCTGTTGGTAGCTTATTTCTGAGGGCTCTCCATACACAAAATGACCATTTAAAGGGTATCTTTTAGTGCCAAGTTAGTTTATTGGTGAGATTAGGTTGCTTCTTTGGTCTGATAACCTCCTAGGCAGATGCGTAGGTGAACTTTCCTGTGACATTGGGTGTCCAAATAGCCTTATCCAAGGCAGCAGGTCTATAGTGAATAGGAGTGTGCATGATGTCTGAAATTTTGTGAGTAGGAGCAACTCCATTCAATTTCTAAAAACACCATTGTCTGTTATTCCAAAACTGTGAGACTGTGATGTTACCTGGCCTTGGTCCTCCATTTCTAAAACCTGCAAGAGGACCAGTGCCTAACCAGTTGTCCCACCAGAAGCTGCAATTGCCAGAGTGGAGCCTTCATCTGATGTAGTCTTCAGCTTTTTTCCTGTTCATCGTCATTCTTTTCCAAGTTTGTGATTGGCCAGAGTGCTATTTTTTTTTAAATAGGGTTAGATCTCTAATAGTATTTGGCCCTCAAAAAGTTGCTCCACAATGATGGTTTAGTTCTGAACAACCACCATTGTTTGAACTCCCTTGATTTGCAAGTATCTTGTATATACCTAAATGCAATTCCACCTTCCTCCTGTGGGTATGACAGTTTCTGCCATAAAGCCCAATGGTACTTGTTTTTATTTGTTTCCATGCCCCAAAAGAAATTTGCTGCTATCTTTTGTATATGCTTCATTACACTCTTTGGAGGTGAGACAACTGAAAGGAGATGGACAGGAAGAGACTGCATAACATATCTAATCAAAGTTGTTATTCCTCCATAAGATATCATCTTGCTTTGCCAACCTTTGATTCTGCCCACTACTTTGTCCACAAGGTCATTAAAGTGGATAATTCTCTTTTTTCCAGTGTAGAGAGGGCATCCCAAGTAGATAAGAGGGGATTCCTTCTTAGTGAAACCTGTCACATCTTGTACCCTTCTGATAGTAGCTGGGAATGCACAAGGAGAAATCATAAAATGACTTTTGTGCCTGTTGATTTGTTGGCCTAAGATGTCTTCATAATTATCCAAAATCCTCATGATCTTCTGAAGAGATGTTCTGCCTCCAGATGTGAATATTATTATGTCATCTGCAAAGCTCGGATGGTTGATTTGTGGGCCCCTCTTCTCCATGTAGAAGCCATTAAAAATATGATCATGGCTAAGCATATTGAGCATTTTGGATAGGAGTTCTGCTCCTATGATGAAGAGTGTTGGTGCCAATGAATCCCCTTGTTTTAATTTTCTGGTAGATTTGATGAATCCAAACTTGGTTCCATTAACAATAACTGAGTACCAGTTATTGGACATGGTTCTCCAGATCATATCAATAAAGAGTTCATTGAATCTCATTCTCCTCAGCATGATACAAGTATAGCTCCAGGATACTCTGTCATAGGCCTTTGCCATATATAACTTGATAACTACATTAGATCCTTCATTTGGCTTTTTGATTCCCTGCACAATTTCTTGAGCAAGCATTATGTTCTCATATATGCTTCTTTTTTTAACAAATCCAGATTGGTTGGCTGAAATGATTCGGGGGAGAATGTGGCTCAATCTTGAACACAAGACCTTAGAAATGACTTTGTTGACAAAGTTTCTTAAGCTGATGGGCCTGAACTCAGTTAAGGAATTAGGGAATTCAACTTTAGGTAGTAATACTAGACATGCACTAGTCATGTATTTGGGCATGGTGCATCCTCCAAAGAAAGCCAGGACCACATTTAGCAGGTTAGTCTTGATCACCTCCCAGCAAACTTGGAAGAACTAGCCATTCATACCACCAGGGCCTGCTGCACTTGTAGGACTCATGGAGAAAACTACTTGCTTCAGTTCAGAGATGGTAGGGTCCTGTGTTAGAGTAGCATTGTCTTCTACATAGATCATATGGGGAATACATGATAGCATGTCTTCCCTGATAACTCCACCAGGATCTGAAAACAGCTGATGATAGTAATCACAAGTTGCATCTCCAATATTTTCATCAACTTGAACCCAATCTCCATCTGCATCTTTGATCTTGTGAATGAACATTTTCCTTCTTCTTCCTATGATTAAGCTATGGAAATAACTTGTATTCACATCCCCATCCTTGAACCAGTGCAGTTAAGTCTTTTTTTTAGAATAATCTCCTCCAGTTTCAGGTATCTAATGTATTTTGCAGTTATCTCTTGAAGATTTGTTCTATCAGCTGCTTGATTAGATAGAGCCCAAATCATTTCTGCTTGCTTCACTTGTTCATCATATTCCTTGTTTTTTTGAAAACTATCTCCATACTCTTACCTAGACCAAGTACTCAATGCATTTGATAAAGATTTGAGCTTCTGATAGAAAATCAACATAGCATTTCCCTGCACTTCCTTATTCCAGACCTAACTAAAGGCATGAAGCGTTCATGATCGACCCAACAATTGAGAAATTTGAAATACCTCTTGCCAGTGTCTGCCTAATATTTAGTTCCATAAGTAGGGGATTATGGTCTTAACCTGTAGAGGCTAAGTGTGTAATTGTGGTAGTAGGGAAGAAGGAAAGCCGGTGATCATTAACAAGACCCCTGTCAAGTCTCTTCCACACAATAGAACATTGCCCTCTACCATTGGACCATGTGCATCTTGATCCAGAATAGCCAAGATCATGAGGCCCACAGTCTTCAATCACACTAATAAAGTCCATGCTCTTGTTAATCCGATAGGGAAGGCCACCAATCTTCTCAGCAGCAGAAGTAATGACACCTATAAGACACCATGGTATAGTGCATACCATGGATTTCTGCCTCAAGAAATCCTAGAGAGGTCTTCTAAGGACAATTTTGCATTTGGCATAAACAATAGTGATATGGAGCACATCCCCTGCTTCATCATGGTCCAAGACAGTACCATTGAACTCATTATCCCAGAAAACCCAGATTTTGTTTTTGATGTTTGAGGCTGAGCGATCCATGGATAATTGGATTCTATATAGGTTAATATGGTTGTTGTGTAGAAAAGGTTCTAGAACAAAAATGAAGGATAATTTATGAAGTTGTTTCAAGGTTTTGAGTCTTTCAAGTGCACCAGCAGTTCTGATGCCTCTAGCATTCCAAATGATTGTATTAATCATTAAAGGACTCGTGGGGTTATGTAGTCGAGTTCTACCCTTGGACTCAGGTTTTGACCGAGCGGGCCTGGAGTGAATTTTGGGGAATTGTGAAAAGATCTTAACTTTGATTATCGGAATTGGTTTCTCTTGCATTGTTTGATGATATTGAGTAGTTTTTGGTTAGATTTGAGCGGTGCGAAGGTGAATTTTAAAGGAAATGCTATTTTTGAGTATTGATTTGGCCTAATTGAGGTAAGTATCTTGCCTAACTTTCTGTGAGAAAAACTACCCCATAGAATTTGATCTGATTGCATCATTTGAATTATGTGAAAGATGTGTACATGATGTGACGAGTGTGTACACAGGCTTATATGTGGTAATTGACTGGTTTAGACTCTTAGGTTATTACCATGATTTTAATTGAAGTTATTGTTATATGGAATATCTTTCATTGTGGTGTTATTTCCCATTTTATTTTATTGTTATTGATA